TCAGACTGCAAAACATTAAGAAAACAACTTAGAAAATTATCAAATCTGAAACATAAAGAACCAAACAACACTGACATAAGAACTGAATACTTTTCAAAACTAAAAATATATAAAGACAAAATTAGAGCAAAGAAGCAACACCATCTGACCAAAAGTATACAAGAATTAGAAAATTCAATAAATCATAATCAGTTCTGGGATATGTGGAATAATCTGAGCACGGCAAAACCACAAGACCTACCTATACAAGACGGAGAAATTTGGACAAATCATTTTGAAAACTTATATAAAGAAATCCCATCAAACCAACTCAATGATAATTATAATCTGACCAAACAAAATCTACAAACTTATGAAGAGACAATTAAAAATAATCAAAATCCACTTGACTTCCCAATTACACATGAAGAATTGGCAAACAAACTCAAAAGCCAAAAAGGTAATAAATCTTGTGGTCCTGACAGCATTCTAGGAGAGATGCTGAAACACAGCACACCGGAGCTGCAGGCGGCGCTGCTCAAACTATTCAACACCGTACTCCGTTCAGGCTGTTTTCCTGACATCTGGAGCCAAGGACTCATTACCCCAATCCATAAGAGTGGAAATAAATTGGACCCTAATAATTTCAGAGGCATTTGTGTGAGCAGTAATCTGGGGAAGTTATTTAGCAGTATTTTAAACAATAGAATTGTAAGCTTCCTTAACGAACACAATGTCCTGAGCTCGAGTCAGATTGGCTTCGTTCCAAATCACAGAACTACCGACCACATTTACACCCTACACACCCTAATCGATAAACACGTAAAACAGACCAAAAATGGAAAAATATTTGCATGCTTTGTCGATTTCAAAAAAGCATTTGATTCTATTTGGCACAACGGATTATATTATAAACTTTTACAAAGTGGTGTAGGGGGTAAAGTCTATGACATTATAAAATCAATGTATTCGAACAACAAATGTGCAATACGAATTGGCAACAAACATACAGAATTCTTCACCCAGAAAAGAGGAGTGCGGCAGGGCTGTAGCCTGAGTCCAACGCTGTTCAACATCTACATTAATGAGCTAGCGGTGCAGCTGGAGCAGTCTACAGGCCCTGGACTCACTCTACAGGACAGGAGCATCAAGCTCTTGCTGTACGCAGACGACCTGGTGCTGCTGTCACCCACTGCACAGGGACTACAGCAGCACCTGGACCTGCTGCACAACTACTGCCAGAACTGGGCCCTGGCAGTCAACCTCACAAAGACCAACATTATGGTCTTTCAGAAGAAGCCCAGATGTCAGGAACACAGATACCAGTTCAGTCTAGGCAGCACCGGCCTAGAGCACACGATGCAGTACACTTACCTCGGCCTGGTCATCACTGCATCGGGGAGTTTCAGTATGGCAGTGAATGCTCTTAAAGATAAAGCTCGAAGAGCTCTATATGCAATTAAGAAGAAATTCCAAAACACTGAATTACCGATTCCAATCTGGTGTAAAATCTTTGATGGTGTAATCCAGCCCATTGCGCTGTATGGAAGTGAGGTTTGGGGTCCACTCAGTGATCAGAGCTACACTAGATGGGACAGACATCCAACAGAAGCCCTACACACAGAATTCTGCAAAATGATACTAAAACTACAAAGAAAAACACCCAATAATGCATGTAGGGCAGAATTAGGCCGATTCCCATTGATTATTAATATGCAAAAAAGATCCCTCAAATTCTGGATGCATCTAAAATCAAGTCCCACAGAATCGCTACATTTTAAAGCACTGCAAACCCAAGAACTGAACCCCGAAAAGAGTCTCCTCAGTCAGCTGGTCCTGAGACTCACTAACCCGCCTAACCCTACTAACTCTAACCAGTCTCAGACCAGCTCTGCTCCTCACACACACATCAGAATAAACCAAATTATCAAACAGTCTAAAAATACATATTTGGAACATTGGGATCAGGAAACCAAAACACAAAGTAAATTACAATTCTATCGAAATCTGAAATCAAATTATGAAATGGAAGAATATCTCCAGAGTGTGAGAGACACAAAGCAGAGACGGATCCTGAGCAAGTACAGGCTGAGTGAACACAGTCTCGCCATCGAGACCGGCAGACACAGAAAGAGCTGGTTACCCCGAGAGCAAAGGGTGTGTGTTCAGTGTAGGACAGGAGAGGTCGAGACAGAGACACACTTCCTCCTTCACTGTCACAGATACAGCTCAGTCAGAGACCTCTACTTTAACAAACTTAATAACGTAATACAGGGCTTTACAGCCATGACTGAAGTAGAACAGATAAAGATCCTACTAGGAGAGGGACAGACCGCAACACTGGCTGCCAGATACGTGTGTGTGTGCCACAGCCTGAGAGACAGCAGGTGAATGTGTGTGTGTGTGTGTGTGTGTGTGTGTGTGTGTGTGTGTGTGTGTGTGTGTGTGTGTGTGTGTGTGTGTGTGTGTGTGTGTGTGTGACCTCAGGGTGTTCCCCTACTGCCCACCACAGTGACTTCAG